CCCACTTTTTTCCTGTTTCAAAATCAAACACCAGTTTGTGAGAAGATTATTTTCTTTTTTTAATAGGCAGATAAAGTTTTACATTGGCTAATTTGTCAATTGTTTGTTACAAATGTTCGTATTTTAATATTCAAAAATGTTTTTGCCCAAAACATATGTGCACTATATGTCAGTAAAAATACTATGCAAATATTGCTGTCCTTGAATGCTGAGTAAACACTGACAAAGCACTGATTGTATCTCTTGTACTTTATCAATGCAGTATCTAAAAACTTTGCACTGTAGTGGTTAAAATCTCATTCTAATAAGAGTTAAAAAGCGCATTCGGTTATTAGGTTTATAGGGTTATTGAATTATGGTTAACGGTTGGTAGAATTTTTTTTAAACATTATCTGCCAATTACATCTGCCACCCTTCTCCAAATCTGTGCCCCTACCTGGCCCCCCCAACAAAAACTTTCTAGACACGCCACTGCCTTCAGTTAATGCAAAATGCTGCAGCAAGAGTCCTGACAGGGTCTAAAAAGAGAGAGTCTTAATTGACTCCCTGCAAAATCCAGAATTGAATTTAAAATCCTTCTCCTCACATACAAGATCTTGAATATTCTGGCCCTATTATATCTTACAGATTTTCATAGTGCCATATTGTCCAAATAAAGCACTGCACTCTCAGACTGTTGTGTAGAGTTTCTATAAGTAGAATGGGAGACGGGTATTTTGTAGCACCAGTTCCCAGTTTGGATTCGGGAGACAGACACCCTCTCTAAAATTATCCTTAAAACTTTCCTGTTTGATAAAGCTTATAGTTAGTGCTGGATCAGGTGACCCTGAACCCTCTTGGTATGCTGCTATAGGCTCAGACTGATGCAGGACTTCATGTGATGCACTGAGCATTTCTTTCCATTTACCACCTTTATGTACCATTTGAACAGATCATTCATTTTACCTTCTCCCTCCCTTTTGTCCCATCTCTCTATTTTCTCCTTTTTCTCTTTTCGGGGAGTTCTTCCTTACCAACATCTTTACTTTAGTGTTGCTCATTGTTTGAGCTTTCTTCAGAATACTGTATCTTGACACTACAATATAAAGCACCTTGAGACAAATGGTGTTGTAATTTGGCACTATATAAATAAACCTGAATTGAGATGTTCAAACAGTCTATCTCAAAAATAGCACTGAAATTAAAACCACACGATATGACATAAAAACACTGATAGTGTGATAGGCCACACACAAAAGAGTTAATGCTGTGAGTTTTAACCTAAAACACAATCTTTTCTTAACCTTACAAAGTCAGTTTTGGTGAACAACTCAGTGAGTGAAAATCACGAGCACAAGCATCCGCCTCCAAGCTGGTAAAAGTGTGATGTCATCCACTGCCACCACTCCTAACTCAGGCTTTTTCACTCTTCTTAAAATGACTCTGTAACTAATAATACCACAGCAGGCACTACAGGAGCAGCAATATCTGACGCTCTGGAATGAGAACAAGTTCAACACACACACCTGGTTGACAGGTGCACGTGAAGTTGCGTCCTTCACCCCCCTGCCTGATGTCAGTGCAGGTGCCGTTGTTGCGACAAGGTCGGTGGTGGCAGGCGTCATATTCCTCACAAAAAATCCCGGTGTAGCCGTCTTCGCACTCGCAGAAGAAGGTGCTCTGCAAAAAAGCGAACGCACACAGATTTCCTGTGTCAAATCAGGGATCCCTAACGGCGAAACGGCGGGAGGGAGAAAAACTTGTGAAACAGTAATAATGAGATCGCAGATTGGGAAATAATTCAGCGACACAACAATGCAATTATGAGCAGCGGTGACACAGTTTGGTTTTCTCAGCTAACAAGGGAAAACAGAAGAAACGGCACAAAACCAGACACGGTGAGATGACCTCTCCAACACCTCCCTCTCTACACTTTCATTCACACTTAAGAGGCACAACCAACCGCTACATCTTTTTTGGTTCGGTACGTGAAAGTTGGGGCTCAGTGGATCCATTTTTAACTATGAGCAACGGATAATTAAAACAGGCCAGCATAAATTAAAAATAGCACCGCAGTGTTTGTTCTTCCAGCTATTAAGTTTGTGATCAGTGATCAAAACAGAGCGCAATAATGCATCTCTGATGATGATGATAATGGGAATTCAGCTTTTATGGAAGTTGCATGTTTTACATGTTAGAAAGCAATAAAGAGATCGCTAAAACTAAAGCAATGAGCGTGCCCATTCAGCGGTGCTACCTTTATTTATTTCACTAATTTATGCTAGTTTGTCCCATAAAACTTAAACCTACTGGAGGGCTGTGCATAAAAAAGGCTTTAATTTGTAAAACCCTTTGAATTAAAGCAAGGACTCTTCATTTCAGTCACATACTGACTGCTGAAAGTAGCTTCTTGTATCAGCGAGCACTGAAACGTGTTCTCGGGTGAAGAAAAGAAACGTTTCTATGTTTTCAGCTTTTATTTCCCGGAGTTCTCACCTCAGAGGGTTGGGTGATGCATTTGCCTTTTCCGGAGCACTGAGGGTCACTGAAGCTGCTGCCGGGCTCCACACAGCTGCTGGCCTTCACCGTCAGGTTGAGACGGAGCGTGACCTCCGGGGCCGTGGGAGCGCCAACGCGAATCACACCTGCCACAAGAGAGTGTGTAATCTGCTCATGTATACAACAAGTACAGTAATATGTGATGGATAATTGGACTCGGTGGTGGAGTTTTTAACCATACAGCAGTCTGAAGATGTACTTTCTTTTTCTATTTTCAGACACGGCTCTTCATTTATAAATATCGCAACACCTTTTGGAGAGTTTTTAAAAGGATTCCTGGTCCCCAGAGGATGAATTCTTGGCAAACCCTTCTCTTTTCTCGCCTAGCGCTCAGCTGTATTTTTAGCCTTTTAGCATGTTGAGTGAATCATCAAACATCGGCCTGCAGCAGCCGCACACAGCTTTCATTTTACAATGCTTTAGGAAAAGTACACACCGCTGCCCCAAAACTGCATAAAACTTAAGTGGTAATAAAAGAATTGATGGATTCAGTTCATTACAGTGACCAAAATAGAGACTGTGCCTCTCTGTCTTTGTCTCTCCCCATCTCTGGATCTATAAATGTAGAACATCTCGTATTATAGGTTCAATCAAAGCTGACAGCTTCACGGGCACTTGGATAAAAATAGCTTCGTAGTGGATATCACCTGCCATTCTTTTGGAGCAACACCGGTGACGACAGCGATGATGCAAGCTCCTCGGCCAATCGGTGCCCTGATAAAACGACGCGTGTTCCTCCGTCATCCCCGACCGAATCATCGTCAGCACAATGACACTGAAAGTCGGGCCTGCACAGTCATTGCGCTTTTAAACTGCGAGGAAAGCACATGGCCACAAACATCATGGCGTTTCCATCCCATGTGTAGATGGGTGCCTGTGTCTTTCCTCCTTTCCCCTGCATGTTGCAGGGAAACATGCAGCACGCTTAAAATCCTGCGTAGATGTGAGTTTGGTTTTGTTGCAAGCATTTTTATTCAATAAATGCGATACCGCCTGCGTCTTCATCCTTCTCCCACAAATTGTCCTTCATTCACGCCTCCTTCACGCCCCTTTATCCTTTCCTCTAATCCCTTTCTTTGTTGTCTCCTTTCCTCCCTTGCTCCCTCCTTATCTAACTCTTCTTTCTCCTTCTTCCATCCTTCCTCATCCTCTCTTCTCTCTGATTTAACTCCCCAGTGTCATTGCCGCCGCCACCGTGTCCTTCTCTTTCTCCCTCCCTCCGTCTCTCTCCGGTGAAGCTGCCACCGAGTTACCAGACGTGTCAAGGTCAGCAGCCGGGAAGAGTAGCAAAACAGCATCAGGTATGTAGAGCACACGCAGGGGTCAGCCAGCCCTTCAGTCAAAGGAGCGAGGCTCCAATTAACCCCCGGCGGCACCCGCTGCAGCTCACACCATCGTTTTTTGGCACCACTCTGTGAATACTCAAAAACTGCCCGTGTGAAGCTCGGTATTAAAACACAGATGGAATATCAGCATAAATGTCTGTTCGGTATGCAAATAAAACATTCTGACTCACATATGCAAATGTTATGTTATTTTCCCCCGATGACACTGAAGAATAAACGCCGCAATTACAACTTATTTAAATTCATTAATCCTCTGATGTTTTTGGCTCGGCTGTAAATGATCTATTTGGAGCTTCTTGACAATGTTTCAAATTCAGCTTTTCTGTGGTTGTTGGATGAACTGCCATACACATTAAATAATTTAAAAAAAACCAGATTCTCTGTAAATATGTATCTAGTTTTAATAAAGTTATGGCTGGGTTGGAGTCATCGAGGGACTATCTATTTATATTTCCCACAATTTTTTTATAGATCATCCTCAAACTTCACAACAATACACCAAGCCTTGGGGGACACGAGTACCTAGGTGGGCTAAACATTTGACCTTGGCCTTCATTCTCAGGCAGCAAGGTCAAAGTTGACCTTGAAAACAAAATTCCAGAAACCATATCAACTAATGTATCATATGACAGGGCACGGAGACCGCTGTACAACACACTCAAATCTTAAAATCTTTACAGCCTATAGAAGCTAAAGATTTCAACTAATTTTGCTGCAATCATATCGGCAAAGTTAATAAAATAGGCAGTTTTAGTATGTAGTGCTTCAAGGTTATGGGTCAAGGGTCAGAGTCACACGAATTAGGAAAGAATCTTAGTTTCTATTGGATCATCTCCGAACTTTGAACCAATATATTAGTCACTAGGGGGGCATTGAGCTCTTTAATTTTATATTTTGACATTAATTAATTCGCTACAAGATTTTTATATTACCAATGCTGACATCACAGATTTGATATAGGCCCTGTCCTTCAGGGGGAGTTGAGCTCTTGTTTGTTATGTTTTTTTATGGTTAATCCGCCAATAAGCACAAGCTGTTTAATCTATAATATCTATAAATGTTTTTACCAAAAAAAGCAGAAAAATAGTACAAGTGCGTTATTATTTTTGATTAAGATGCCAAACTGCATCCGTTTACTTGCGTTCCTGAACATTTATTTTTAGTGGTCGAGTGTTGCGCCTAATTCATTTGCAGTGTTTCTGCTCAAATTTGGATATGAAAACATGAATTCAGTTTAGTATTTGCTTAAAAAAATAAAAAACATAATTTTCAATTTTAAAAAAGTGTTTTCTTGATTTTATGGCAGCTGGTCGAATAAATTTGTTAAGCACTGTATGCCTATATTTTCTATACAATCTATGAGCCAAACGTCCGGATTTACCAGCTTTTTAAAAGAAATTATTCATAACAAAGTAAATCCTCTGTTCTTCTCAAGGCTGTTTAATTTTGATGCCTTTAAGTAAAGACAAATCCAGATTCTTGGCTTCTGTGTCCAGAAATACAGCTCAGGGCTGGTTGCCTCAAAGAGCTAAATGCTAACATGCTGATGTTTGGCACATGTCCACTATTGTAGTTTCCTGTGTTTGCATACTAATATTTCCCAAAAGGCATTATTAAAAAGTACCAAGACACCGGAGGCTTACTCAGGAAGTAGTTCTGTCCCAGGGGAAGCAAGTTGTCTGGCACCACCAGTCCATCCGGGGCCTGCAGGAACCACATGGTGGTGCCGTTCAAAATGGACGAACGGAGGAAACCTTCTTCGTTCACTCGCCACAGCACGGGAGCTCCACTGGCATTCACCACGACCCTGTTTGGAGCAGAGACAGGAAGCTCGTGACGAACGCTTACAGCCTTCAGTGTGTAAATCATAGGTCGCACAAGAAAATTCAAGACTCAGTGCTCAAACACAATCCACGTAGTGCACGCTTTTGCTACTGTATACCAAGTGAGGGCTTAATCCATCTTGCCAGCCATGAACCTTTTTAAAATGTCAGCATGTCAGCTTGAAATATTAGACACATGAATGAATCTTCTATGTGAAGCTGCCTGCTTCTGCTAATGGTTATTTTATTCAAAAGAAGAAGTTTGGTGAAATATCATCCCGTGTGCACACGTCATGGTCGACAGCAGCTCAACAGTCAGTCAGTTTTTGTACCGAAGGACATTTTGTGCGGCGTACCCGATGATTAAAGTACTGTCCTCCTGTTGGTGAGTCCAAGCTGGGATCATAGTCAGGTCTGTGAGTAATGACTGCCAGAGAGGTTGATGCTTCTTGTGGAAACACTGTGAATCTTGTGAATAGAGTTGTGAAATACAGCCAGTGTTGCTGGCATCCATCATTCACACTGAGCCATTAAATAGACCCCCGGGGACACGGAGGTCTCTGCAGACCACATAATTCAAACATGAGTCACATAAAAATACCAGTGACACCAAAATGATCTCTTTTGTCTTTTATTTAAACAAACCTACTATTGAGCAATTCCAAATTAATGTCTATGCAGAGGCCAAGATCAGCAACCCAAATGATATCGATGAGACAAAGTATTATTTACAGAGCTCAGTCCATCTCTCTCTGCTACCAAAGCCACAGCCAACCATGAGGGTAAATCCCGTATCTGGAGGCCTACTGTTCTGGGGATCGTGCTGCCAGCAGGATGATCTAATCCCTCTGGGCAGAGCGAGAAGAACAATGCGCGCCATGTTTCCTGCCAGAGACGCCGAGCTCCACCAGCTGCTTGCTGAAGAGACAGTAAAGAGCAGAGCCAAGCGGAGCTGAGCTGAGCTGGATCACCACGCAGAGCAGAGTGAAATCTGTCACTGGGGGTTGTGAGAGGCAGCAGCTTCAATGAGCCTCCTCTTGTTTAAATGCAATTGAGAAGCCCTCTAACCCCACTCCCACACCTAATCCATCCAATATTAACAAAAACAAAAATCAATCTGATTATGCATCAGCTCCCGCCGTCACGTATCTGTTCTAATGAACGCTTGTTACTTATAGGAGCAGTAATTATTATTATTACCTCTGTGTGCTTTTCATACACTCAGCCACAAATGAAACAGATTTACAGAGAAATTAGGATAAAAAATGTGATGTGCCTGGCTTGACAAATAAGCACACACGAGTGTTAGTAACAAGCTGTTTGATTCATTACTAAAACATAAAAAAATCAGAGTCAACTTTGCTGGCGTGAAAAAATATAAAATGGTAATAAATTATTCAGAATTAAAGACTGATATTTGTAGTGCTGTGTAAACGTACTGAGCCAGCCTGTCATGGGAAATAGGTGCAGGGACTTATTATAACATGTGTAAGTGTACTTGGCAATACAGTATATGAGGCATAAACAGAGTTTATACAATTCTAATCAGCTCAATATTTAATAACCAGTCTGAACTCTCTTAGTCCAACTTCCTTATAATGTCTTGAAGTAGTCTTCAGGAATAGTTCTCCAGGCTTCCTGAAGGACATTCAAAGCTCTTCTTTGGATGTTTCTGCCTTTTGTTCTGTTCTCTGTCAAGATGACCCCACACTGCTTCACTAATGTTGATGTCCGGGCTCTGGGGAGACCAATCCATGACACGCAGTGTTTCATTCAGTGTTTTTCTATCCAGGTGTACTTTGGCAGCATGTCTGGGATCTTTGTTATGAAGAAAAAGAGAAATTGCTGCAAGTGATGCTACTTTTCTGTGTTTATTCTGTATTTCCATCATTTTGACAAGATCCACAACACCACAGGCTGAAACTGACAGATGGTTGCAGACACTCACTGCTGTACCTGTCTCCTGATCTCCTCCATACATCCTTATGATTGCTCATTTGGATTCGTCGCTCCATCAGACTTCTTGTCACTAATTTTCAGTCCAGTTCTTGTGTAATTTGGCATGCGTCAGTCTTTTCTCCCTGTTTCCCTTCCTTAAGAATAACTTCTTGACAGCCAATATTCCACTGAGACCATTTCTGATGAGGCTTCAGTGAACCGGAGATGATCAACTGAAGGCTCAGATGCATCTCTCGGGTCTTGTTGGTCGCTTTGCTGAATTTTTTCCTGTCTTAAGGACATGACTTTCACATTCTGTTCACCTGCTGTAGATACCTTTTCTTTTGTCTTCCACTCTCTAGTTTCCTCAGATTTCTTAAGGATAGACGCCATACTATGCCAGGTATCCAGCTAACAACTCTCACCTTACCGGTGCAAATATTTTATCTTATGCCTGTCAAACTATGCTGTATTTGGCATTTTTTGCTGCGTGTTTTGTGACAGGCTGCTAGTAACAAAGCACTTAAAGACACAATTAAAAACTGGTTCTTTGTAGACACAAGATATACCTCGAATTAGGTGCCTTTTGGGGCTTGAATGATTCATAAGTGAGTTTTAAGTGGCTTAACACTCCTCTGAAAACGGTCAGGTACATAAAGTGGACTGAAATCTAGTAAAAAAGCAGCCAATTCTACACCAGCAATAAGAAAAATGCTGCCAAAGCATACAAAACAAAACGGAAATAGAAAAAACGAAAACAGAAATAGTTCAACAACAAAAAAAAAAAAGGGAAATGTTTCTGGGGAGACAATAACTCGACGGACCAGTTGCAGGAACCCAAACATGGTAGGCGTGTTTTATCGTGACTCATATAATACTGATGACAGATTTTTAGGCTAATAGTTAGGCTAATACGCTTACATCTCATCTTTTCTTTCCTCACAAAAACGATAGATCCTCCACTTCTTTTAAGCGTCTCCCAGCAAAATTCTTAGCATATTTTGGTTCCTGCAACTGGTCCGTCGGGTTATTGTCTCCCCAGAAACACTTCCCTTGTGCTTTTAGAGATCTGTTTTTTCCTATTTCTGTTTTCTTTTTTCCTGTTTCTGTTGTGTTTTGTGTGCTTTCTTATTGCTGGTGTTTTCTTAAGTTGCTGTCTGTTTGGCCTCTCAGGGCCACCGTACAATGCCCAAAGAAGGACCTTCAGAAAACCTGGAAAACTACTTTTAAACATCACTAAAGACTAAGACTTTTACACAGCACTAAATTTATTATTCAAAAGAGGACAGAACTACTTAAGTGAGCCAATTTTGCTTTTAAAAAGAAATCTGCCGGGCACACTTTGTGGTCCATAAGGATATATTGTAGGTTTGAGCTGAGGAGCGAGGGCAGGTTGGATGAATCAATACGATGGCTGTCCCACAGCGCTGCGGCAAAGAGGGGGGCTGAGTCTGGAGGTGAAGCTACGAGCAGTGACTGCAGTAATAAGATGGTGGACGGGCTGCTTGTAGCTGAAATGACTTTTCCTTCGCTTCAGCCTGAGGCGCAACATGAGGAGCCGAGATATCCGGGGATCTTCAAATGAAAATGTACCGGGTGATATCTGACAGCTAGTCCTGCATTTGAATGCTCTACACTCATGCGTGTTGGGAGTGTGTAAGGCTTTGTTCGACTTCATGTTGGCATTTGTCTCATTTTTCGTGGCCAGTGAATAATTGTGACCTAGAGTGATTATTATTAATTCAAAGCTCTTGCATTAAAAGAGTTCATAGTCTTGCGAGTGATACTCAGGTTCAGCATACGCACGTCTGTTTAGAGACATGACAGCTACTCTCTCCGGCCTCTCTGGGATCTGAAGCTTCATCATCATACTATCAGCATCTCTAAATCGATGCCACTTTTGAATTGCTGCTTCATTCCTAAGTGCGGTGCGTCAGGTTTGTAAGAGTGCCCTTCACTGCCTGCATCTGGGCGTGCGTTCAGATGTCATGTGCAATTATACAGTATGAAAACAAAGCAGCAGCAGTTGATTAACTCGCAGCTCTCGGTCTGCGGTCGTGATGAGGGGCCCGAGTCGTGCCTGCAATATGTAAGGAGGTTCTACATGAAGGACGCCCAGCATTCACCTTGACCATTCCTTCAGCATAATTCACTGACCCTTATTTACTGAGCAAGAGGAAGAAAGTTTGCGAGTTTGTGAGCTTTCAGTCACGTAACGCCAAAGTCTTACGTGCAAGAGCCGAGTCACGAGGGGATTCAAGTGGGAGGCAATTAGCTTAAAAATCTTTGAGCTGTGTTCTGTTTCCAAGGAAAGTTTCTGCATGCAAGTATGCACATGAAAGGCTGCACAAAGCAGAATCTATTTTAATGTATCTTGATGATAATTATGCACCCGATATACTGGACAGCGTGCTTTGTTGTTCCTCTTGCTGATTAGGAGCCAAAGAGCTGAGCTAATTTTGCTGAGATGGTTTTTTAAGCTCGATTCTGGTGTTTGTGTGCTCCCATAACACAGAGCTGAAAAGCAATCGCTGGCCACATGTAGGTGAAAGTTTTCCCCACAACACCCTCTCCTGAGGGCATTTCCACATCACTGAGCTAATGCCACAAGTTCATGTCATGTTGTTCACGCGGTAATTACAAAAGCTGAGATGGGAAATTTTCCTGGTTGTAAATGAAAGAGTTGTAAGTATCAGAAAAATAAATAAAAATTGCTGCTGCTACAACTAGACTGCTAAGCAAGCACTCTGAATTATGAGGGCAGGAAAATAGCTGATTTAGGATACACATGGTGTGAATACAGCTCAAACCCCTTTATCAGGAGTTTTTTTTTTCCATTATAGCACCACTACAAAAATACTTTGATCACCTGTCCAGGGTCTACACGGCCTGTGATAGCTGGGATATGCTGAAGCCCTCCCCCACGATGGACGGATCGAAGAAGACTAATAATTCCAAAGCACTGCACACAAACAGGTGTTTCCATCAGAGCATGTCTGAGACATTTGTCAATATTATTGGCTGACAGTGGCCTATCACAGATAGAGCACTGATATGAAACAGACTTTTTTCACAGCATAAAAAGCAAAAGACTATCCTTAGGGAACTCTGAAATTATGTCATCACATGGTTTGTCGAGCAGAGCATCTCCAGCTCCAGTGTTCGCAACACTCTCGTACTCTCATGTGTGTATCACATGCAGTGTAGTGCATGCCACAGCTGAGCAGACAGAAGCAGTGTCTTCACGATTAGTTGAAAACTCGGCGCTATTTCGTCTGTGTAGGTTCTCAGTTGTCCATGTTATGGGAGTCTAATGAGCTTGGAAAGAAAGCACTGGACTTCTTTAAGTTTCAGGAAGACGTTTCTCATCTTATCCGAGAAGTTTCGTCACCTCTAAAACTGAAAGATGGAGAGTCCCAGGTATTTAAACCCTAGTGGTAATCCCTTAACAGGGTTTTGAACCACTTATACCCACTCATCACATGAACCAAGGTATGAAAAAAAGGCAGAAGGTTCAATAAACACTCCATTTTCAAAAAAATCTGAATTTTCTGGCAATTATTTTACAGCTCAGACTTTAAAGGGCTAACCTCAAAGCCCTTTAAAATCTGGTTTACCGAAATGGCAGAGTGAAAAGAAACCGTAGTCCCTGTGTTAATATTAGTTTGGAGTAATTTAGCAGCAACAACACATGATTAAAACACAATGCTGGTGTCAAACTGTCTTTTTGCTATCTATTTTATTTCAGTTGGATGAATGTGTGCGTTTATTGAATTTATAGAAGCTCTCATGTACACAAACATGTTCCGGGTTCATATTCCCAAGCAGATTTATTTGGTCTCTGAATCTCTATTGGGAAAATTTAATTAAGCTGTCATTCTGTCTGCTGAGCAAACGGCATCTCTCGAGTAGTTTAAAGAAACCAGACAGATACAGCGGAAACAGAGCGAGATGAATAAATAAGGCCCCACAGGTAGAGCCTGCCCTGCGGGCTGTGGTTCTGGTTAATCAGAGCTTGCTCAAAGGGGACGGCAGTGAGTTATAAAAGGTACTTGATGGTACTCTTACTTTACAGCCGTCTCTTCAGGCACCTCCAGAGACAGAGTCAGAGTTCCTGATGTCAGCTCACAAAGCTCAGGACTCACACAGTGCAGACCCTCGGTCACCTGAAACACACACGCATCGCCACACAGCGTGAAATCTTTGTACTTTTTTTAAATTTAAGCTCTACAGCAGCTTAAATTTACTGTAGAGGTTATCTCACCCTGTCTGCCTCCCACGGCACTACCAGCAACCTCTGCCCAGGTTTGGGTTGCCATGGCTGCAGGGTGGGAGGAGGCGGCGTTGTGGTGGTGGGGACGGTGGTCGGTTGTGGCGGCTGAGTGGCGGCTGTGGTCGTGGAGGCGACCGGGGTGGCCAGCTCAGGAGCGGAGGGGGTGGCGGGGTCCCAGTCTGCGGCCGGCAGGTCCAGCAGGATCTGATCGCACCTCTCCCCCTCGTAGCCCTCGGCGCACTCGCAGGTGTAGGCCTGCTCCCCCTCCTCGCTGCCGTTGCGCTGGCTGCAGTTTCCATGGAGACAGGGGCTGCTGGCACAGGGGTCTGTGAAAAACTGAGATAATGGAGAAAATAAATAACCGACAAAACATCAAGAGGAAGAAACAGAACGAAAAACACTCAGATGCTTCTCACTGCTGTCCTTTTGCAACTGCCTGAGCACCTTTCGTTTTTTTCTTTTTTTTGCCTCCACATCATTTTTTACATCCAAATCACAAAATGTCAACAGAGTAGTCAGCTTCTGTTTTAATGGGCTCTCGGAGCGGGCCCTTGAACGATGTGGAGGACAAGACATTTTATGTCTTATATTTTAAGTAGTCCAAGCTCGCACTCATCATTTCCCTTTCCCTCGGTGCTCAGCGTCTTCTTTTATTGCTCTCTGACTCAGCTTCCCTGTTTATATCCTCATCTCTGCTTTTACCTTTTATTAAATTTTGGACTCTTTGTTTCCGGTAAATTGTCGAGGGACGGCATTTCTTCCATCCCTTCTTATGCATATATAATTTTATTCTTCCACTCTCACAGCATGGACCCACTTACACTTTGTCCCAAAATACGGTTTCCCCCTCATCATGCAGCAAAGAGAAAAATGCACCCTGACAGCCTCCTTCATGCTGGTTTCCCCCATCAATAATTGATCATATTTGGAGAAAACACTGAGGCGTGGATGTTGAAGGTGAAAAGGGACAAAGCCGCGTTTATGAAGCTCGCTGTCTCACACTGTGTTTGGCTTTCAGAGCCTTCTCTAATCCCGCTGCCTCTTTTTCTTTTTTAAAGCAATTTCCCTGCAACATCCTCAGGTATCTGTGACTCCAGCTGTCTAATATGAATGAATGTAGATGCAGTTTTATTAAAGGCAGCTGAAAACAGAAAGTCAGGGTGAACAGAGGCAGGGGAATGATGCTCACACCAAAAAAAAAAACCCAAAAACCGTCAGTGCATGAAGATGTGAGCATTAAGTATGTGTGAGAAGCAGCAGAACAACAAGGCATCATTAACAGTCCACTCTCTCCGCAAGCAAGTCACAGCTCATTAGTGCTAATCTCTCTCAGGTTTTTACAAGCAATGCTTCTATCAAACTTTCCCTGCTCCGAAGCTCAGAGAGTCCCAGCAGTCCCAGCGAGCTGCTCAGCAGTGGTTGCACAGTCTGCTGCTCTTATCTGCACTCAGACGGCACCGGGGATTGAGTTTATCAACCTTTAGAGAACAGCAATGCTGCTTTATTGCAGGAAGCATTAGAGTCCGGCTCATGACCTTTTTCGTGTGTCACTCCTGATTTTTTTTTCCCCCCTCCATCCTAAATGTCTCCATCCAGGCTGCATGAAATGTGCTCAAGCACAGCACAACAGGACCAGACCCAATGAGGTAAAATCTGCATGACAAAAAAAATCCCTGTCGCTTTATTGTGAAGACTTTCCAAGGCTGAAAGTAGAGGTGATACAATCCTGCGCTGCCTCGTCTTCTAGTATTCTAGTAGCATGAAGCACCTCGAGCTAAACCCTCAGTATAGAGATAGTTATAGCAATGCTTCTCTGACAGGGTTGATCAAAGTGAACATTATTATCTTTATAAAGTTAAGTTCGTGTTTGAACTTTCTTTAAAAAACTGTCAGGTTTAGATGTTTGCCTACATTTGTACGACTGCGTTAGCGCCAACAGAATTTATTCAATGTTTTTTTGATTGATAATAATCTACAGAAATATTGCAGTGAAGGCCTCCAGCTCCTCAGCTGTGGAGATTTGGTCATTTTTCTCTGAAAATTTCTGATGCTGAGTAGATCATCTGGAAAACAAAAGTTCCAAAACTGTTCATTCACTTACAAAAAGACAATATTTGGATGTTCTTAGTTTTTCAAAGAAGAGAAACTAAACACACTTAGGATTCAGTACCTCGTAGAATCAATAACTTGCAGTTATCATTTTCTGTATTACTGTATCCGTCTGTCACACCATTGTGCAGGAATTTTGGCCCATTTTTCTTTACAACATTGCTTCAGTTCATTAAGTTTTTCCACAGCATTTCGATTGAGGTCTGGACTTTGGACCGTTACAACACCTTGATTCTTTTGCTATTCTGCCATTTTGTTGTAGATTTGCGGCAGTGCTTGGGATCATTGTCCTATCGCATGACCCAATTTAAGCCAAGCTTTAGGCCAAGCAGACGGATGGCCTTGCGTTTGACTCTAGAATATTTTGGTATACAGAAGAGTTCATAGTAGTCTCAATTGCTGCAAGGATCTCAAAACAAGACCAAATCACCACGCCTCCAACGCCGTGCTGAACAGTTGGTATCATGGTCTTTGGACTTCACCAGATGTGTCCCCGTGCATTATAACCAGACATCTCCAGTTTTATGTCATCCGTCCAAAAGATAGTCTTTCAGAAGTCTTGTGGTTCTTCAAATCCAATTTTGAAAATCTAAGTCTAAACCTTTCCAAATAAGTTATACTGATTAAGTCTTTTTAAAATTGTGCTGTCAGAACTTTAACATTTAATTAGCTAATTGTGGCCTGACATGTAGCTCTTGGGTTTTTGCAGTCTCTGAGCATTTCACAGTCTGTTGTTAGGGTGAATTTACCCAGATGTCCACTCCTGGGACATCTATGGCTTCCATATTGACAAATAATGTTTCTCATGGTAGAATGATGGACTTATAACCCTTCCCAGACTGTTAAAGGGAGGTAACAGTTGCTGCTTTGAGCATGTTGCTGATGCTTTTCCTTCTTAGCATTGTGTTTACACACACCTGAACGCTCCAGACCTGCACACCGCCAGAACATCTGCTTTCATGGAGGTGCTCACACTTGCTGATGATCATTTACTCAAGTGCATTTGATCAGCAGCACCTGGCTGCTGCTTACACTCTTAATTCCTATGGAAGCTGTACAGGTGTAGAGCTGCAGTTGATTAATTCAATAAAAATGTCCTATGTTTTGTCCTTTCTGTTTTTGTAACGTGTAAGTTAGCCTTGGAATAGATTCACAAGCATTTCGAACAGACCACCTATCTGCCTGATCAGATCTTTTACCAGGACAGGGGAGGTGTGTGCAGTAACTCTTATCACTTCAGTACGTAGATGCTGGTGACCCTGTGGGCACAGTTCTGCCCAGTATCACTCTTATCAGCTGCATTAACTGAAAACAGGTTTGCAGAATTATATCAGATTGATCATGATGTCCTGACACGCTTGGTGTATTAGCTATGCGTGTTTTACGTGTCTTCCTGCATCATTTTTCTGATTGTTCTGCTGCACCAGACCGCTCATATGCCTGGGGTCTGGCTAACCATGTGAATCAATTTCTTCTAAGCAGCTGATAATAACCCACATTAGCTCCTTTATCTATATCCCCACATGCTCCAACACACAGTACAAAGAGATCCTCCGAGGCCAAATTAATTGCTTCTCAAGGTGCTGTGATCTATTTGCTAATTTGAGATAGCCGCCCTGAGGAGAAAAGATCAATACAGCTGGATGGAGGGAAACAACCACAATACTTAAGCACTGACAGCCACAATTTAACCTGGTGGAGGTGCTGGATGAGTCTGTTTTTAAAGACATGCCACACACACACATGAAGACACACTACGTTGCCAACATTTTTTACTCAGTCATCCAAATCGCTGAGTTCACGTGTTTCAATCACGTTGATGGCCACAGGAGTATAAAATCAGATGTCAGATGCGGTGGTATAAAGCACACCACCAGTGGACTCTAGAGCTGTGGAGATGTGATGAATCACGCCTCTCCGTCTGGCAGTCTGACGGACGAGCCTGGGTATGGTGGTTGCCAGGAGAACAGTACTTGTCTGACTGCACTGTGCCAACTATAAGGTTTGGTGAAGGGGGGATTATGGTGAGGGGTTGTTTTTCTGGAGTTTGGCTTGGCCTCTTAGTTCCAGTAGAAGGAACTCTTAATGTTTCAGCATAACAAGACATTTTGGACGATTTCAGCTCCTCAATTTTGTGGGAACAGTTTGGGGATGGTCCCTTCCTGTTCCAACGAGACTGCACACACCAGTGCACATAGCAAAGTCCATAAAAACATGGATGAGGGAGTTTGGTGTGGAAGAACTTGACTGGCCTGCACAGAGTCCTGACCTCAACCTGAACACCTTTGGGATGAATTAGAGTGGATACTGTGAGCCAGACCTTCTGATCCAACATTAGTGTCTGACCTCATAAATGTGCTTCTGGAATAATGGTCAAAAATTCCCATAAACACACCGAACCTCGTGGAAATCCTTCCAAGAAGAGTTGAAGCTGTTATATCTGTATTAAGAATGGGCTGTCACTCAAGTTCATATGCGTGTGAACGCAGACGAGTGAATACTTTTGGAATGTAATGCATGTTGTTCCAACTGTGGTGGGGGGACACATTTACATGTACATACATACATTATATATTTCTGAACATTATTGTTTAATTGGAGATTCAAAGAGGTGAAAGAAAGTAAAAGCATGAGGAAAGTGAGCAAAAGTTTTATTTAAGAGTAAGCATGTCACTGCTGTGATGCATCAGTATTCGCAGAAGCTGACACAAGTAGTTAACTAAACCTGGGAAGTATGCACGGTCTGTCTGCATGCTTTACAGTGGCAGTTCATCTGTGTATCGCCACAACTTAACATGATAATTAACAGAGGTGTGACGAGGGAGTGTTACATTGCTAACGGCTTCTTCTGACACCCTGACCAGGAAGCAAACGTTGATGCTGCGATGACTTGACGAGCTGCGTCAGTGAGCTGTAGCTGTTAGGAAGACATGAAACTGCATGTTTGTTAAAGCCGATGTCTATATTCATTGTGCTCTTTATTGGCTTTGTGTGGGCTGTGAAACATCCTCAGGAAGTAACATTTGGTAACTCTCAGTGTAAAGAATGTAGAAGTCAGCGTAGTGTATATTGACAATATTGATGCTACTTGCCATGAAAAATGAACTGTAAAGGCTGTGAAATGGGTTCTCGAACATTTCGGGTCTTTTAAGAAGCTCAGAGTGAACGGCAGAAGTGCACTTGAGCAAGAAGTTGCACAATATGAAGCTACTGTACCTTCTGACCTC